TGGGGCACTACTTTTGGGATGAGCCTTACTTATATAGGCATTGTTCTGATGGGATTTTCAGGAGATGTGTAGCTGATGAGGAGACACCTGGGGTCTTATTTCATTGTCATAGTTCACCTTATGCTGGTCACTTTGCCACTTTTAAAACAGTGTCAAAGATTCTGCAGGCTGGATATTGGTGGCCTACTATGTTCCGAGATGCGTAGAGATTCATATCCAGGTGTGACACATGCCAGAGGCAAGGGAACATAAGCAGGAGAAACGAGATGCCTCAGAATTTCATCTTGGAAGTGGAGATTTTTGATGTGTGGGGTATAGACTTCATGGGGCCTTTTCCATCATCTTATGGGAATGAGCATATTCTGGTGGCAGTTGACTATGTGTCAAAGTGGGTGTAAGCTCTGGCTATTCCCACAAATGACGCAAAGGTGGTTTTAAAGATGTTCAAATCTGTCATTTTTCCCAGGTATGGTGTGCCGCGAGTGGTGATTAGCGATGGAGGCTCTCACTTCATCAACAAAGTCTTTGAAAACTTGTTGAAGAAGAATGGTGTAAGGCATAAGGTGGCGACCCCATACCATCCTTAGACGAGTGGGCAAGTTGAGGTTTCCAACAGGGAAATCAAGAACATTCTGCAGAAGACTGTGAGCACCACAAGGAAGGATTGGGCAGTGAAGCTTGATGATGCTCTTTGGGCATACAGAACAGCTTATAAAACACCTTTGGGGACTACACCATTCCACTTGGTGTATGGAAAAGCATGTCATCTTCCAGTGGAACTTGAGTACAAAGCTGCTTGGGCAGTGAAGCTGCTGAATTTTGATGCAAGGAGTGCTCAGGAGAGGAGAGTATTGCAGTTGCATGAGCTGGAGGAAATTAGACACCTGGCCTATGAAAACTCGAAGATTTACAAAGAAAGGACAAAAGCTTTCCATGACAAGAGGATCCTCAACAGAAGCTTTGCACCAAACGATCAGGTATTGCTCTTTAACTCTAGATTGAAATTGTTTCCAGGGAAGCTGAGATCGAGATGGTCTCGACCATTCACCATCAAGGAGGTTCGACCATATGGAGCTGTAGTGTTGCTGGACACTAAAGGAGGCGAGTTTGTTGTCAATGGACAGAGGTTGAAACCATACCTTGCTGGTCCAAATATCGCAGAGGGTGAATCAGTCACCTAAGCGATCCTCTTCAAGCCTAAATGGCTTTCCAAGTCAAGCTAATGACTTAAAACAAGTGCTTGGTGGGAGGCAACCCACCGGTAAGAGTCTCTAACTTTGTGTCTTTTATTCTTAGCTACTAACTTTGTTTTTAGGTTCTTTGTGTTCGAAAAAAAAAAACAGGTAAGAAGTTGTTCAACGTGGAAGAGAAGATGTGAGGAAGAAGAAGGAAGAGCACGCAACCGGAGCACCTGCTCCATCTGCTGGGTTGGTTGCTCAAAGCGTGAAAACTGACGATAGAGCACCAACCCCCCTCTGTCGGAGCACCTGCTCCACAGGGTGCTCACCACGTAAAAAGTGACGAAGGATCAACCAAAGGGAGACGGGAGCACCTACTCTGCTGAGTGCTCCAGACGAAGAAAAGACGAGGGAGCACCCAACTCTGTTCTGGAGCACCTGCTCCGCCAGGGTGCTCTACATGTGTGAACCAGGTAAGTTTTCTTGGCACTTCCCTAGCTTATTTTCACACCGGGGACGGTGTGAAGTAAGTCTGGGGGAAGGTCGTGTCTCTTGTACTTCTTTCTTTTGCTTTCTTTCTTTCAGTACTTTCTCTGAGTCAGTTTTTAGTTTGTTTCTTTGAGTCAGTTTGTTTCTTTGAGTCAGTTGGTTACATAAGTCAAGTCAAAGCTTGTGAGAACTATGACCAAATCTGTGATGTGTTTAGACCATTTGTGAATTTTGACCATGTTCTTTTTAGTGACCATTGCTGCAAAATCAGTCTAGATCCGACTAATAGAAAATCCAAGGACTAACCAGTGGACTAGAGGCGTCCATGTTTCTGACAAATCCATTGACCTGAGCTAGTTTCTTAGCTCTTCCTTTTACCTCACCGATGTGACTGGTGTTCACAGGGCTTGACTCCTCATTCATACCTGACAAAAAAGGACTTGTGTGATGAAAAAAAATTGGTACTCCTCTCCCTTATTCTAAGTATTAGCTAAAGCTGAAAATATGAGATGATTTTCTTTCAAAGTAAAGGGGTAGGAAAGTTTCCAGGGACCTCATTATTTTACTTTAGAGAGAAATGATCACACAAGGATTGGAAGTGAGGGGTAGAAAAGTTTTCCGTGACCCCACTATTCACCTACAACCTTGCACACAAAAAAAAAGCTTGCAAATGAATAAGTCCGGAGGAGAGGAAGAATACATTTGTGTGTTTTGGTCAGTTTGTCATGGTATAGTATGGGAATGAGTCTAGAAGGTCCTTGGCACTAGTTTTATCGATGAGACTCAGCGATGATGGGATACGGATAATGTCATGAAATTGAGGGACTAATCTGGAAAGCTGCAATGTCTACGGAGAAGTACATGGAGGTTAGATTTTTGATTGATCTTTACAGCAGATTGTCACATGCCTTGGTCAAATTTACGGTCTTCTTAGTTTTTGCGAGTTTCCACCATTGTCTAATCGATTTTTCTGGAACTAGATTTGAGTTTGTTTGAGGACAAACAAAGGTTTAAGTCCGGAGGAGTTGATAAGTGAAGATTTTGACTCATTATAACCTGTATTTACTGATCTTTTTAGAGTTTTTTTAGTCTTTGTCGAGTCGTTTCAGGTAACTAGGAGGCTTAAGGCGATGGTTTGGAGCAGCTTGAGCATTGGGAGCAAAAAGGAGCTGAAGCTGAGCAAAAGAGGCCAATTTACACGAAGTTGGATCATTCTTGGTCGGGAGCACCTGCTCCCGATTTCACCCTTTCGTGGAGCACATGCTCCAACCGCCTGGAGAGAAATAAGGAAATCGAATTTTACCTAATTTTAGGATGAGAAAGAGAATAAAAAGTCCAGAGCCGCCTACTTTTTATTATCACGTTTTTCTACAGACTTTTTACGCTTTAGCTTTGAGAGATTTCTGCTTGTAAGCTTTTGGGAGAAGTATCTGCTACACTTTGACAAGAATTCTGAAATTCTATTATCTCTTCTGCGATTTATTTCATGAATTTCTTTTCATCTGTTGCTGTGTTTCTTTTCTCCATGTCTGAGTAGATCTCTTAGCTAGATTAAAGCGTTCAAAGGATTTCATGAGTTAAAGGATTAGATGCAAATAGGGCTTGACATCTATTGTCTTCACCATTGTTAGACTTAATGCTTAGGTTGAATTGATCACTCAATCTGCGATTTTAGGTTAATCTATTCATCAAAAGTGTAATAGGTTGCTAGAATAAACATTGGTGAGCGATTTGTCCTTAGCCAACGATAGTTGAAGTTAAGGCAAATCGTGAACAGATCAAACCTGCTAGCTAATGCTTGTCTGCAATTTTCTAGGTTCAAACGATAGTTTATGATTTAGGTTGTTAGACAAAGTTATCGAGATTACGACAGTGGATCGATAAGCTTTTCTTTTTGAGTTTGAGACTTGTGTTACACTTGTGCCCTGAATAGTCATATGATTCTTATCTCTAAAATTCCTGCGAATTGCTTTGGTGTAGTGCTTGTTTTAATTCGAATTTAAATATGTTTGCCGTTCTGTTTACCTTTTTAGTTTTCGCAGCAAATCATCTTTGTCTTAGCTTTAATTCAATCCTCACAAAGTCATAGAGTAGCACTGGTCCTCTGGATTCCGAATCCTTTATATTACAACTATATCACTGTTCTATTGCAGTAGAAACTAGGAGTATATCCAGTGTGAATCAATGATGTTGGATTACTTGGCTGCAAACCTTCCACAATTCTATGGATCCGCAATCAAACTTGCCAAGGATAGTGGAGGAGAACTTGTTGATGCCAAAACCTATCGGCGTCTTATTGGCAGGTTGATGTATTTACAGATTACTCGTCCTGACATCACCTTTGCCGTGAACAAACTCAGTCAGTTTTCTGAAACACCTCGAAAAGCTCATCAACATGCTGTTTTCAAGATTCTGCATTACATCAAATGCACTATAGGCCAAGGTTTGTTCTATACCTCTACCGCTGAACTGCAAATTCAAGCTTTTGCAGATGCCGATTGGGCCTCTTGTCAAGATACACGCCGATCTACTTCAGGCCATTGATATTTCTTGGAACTTCTTTGAACTCATGGAAATCAAAGAAACACAAGTGGTTTCAAAGAGTTCCACATAAGCCGAATATAGGAGTCTTTTCCCTGATTACAGATGAATTGGTATGGCTTACTAACTTTTTTAAGGAACTACATATCTCTTTAGCTAAGCCTACTTTGCTCTTCTATGACTCAACTTCTGCTATGCAAATCACACGTAACTCTGTTTTTCATGAGCGCACGAAGCACATAGAATCTGATTGTCATAGCATCTGAGAAAGAATGGTCGCAGGGTTATTCAAGCTTCTGCACATCAAGACTGATCTACAGCTAGCTGATCCCTTCACCAAGCCGTTGCATCCTGCTCTTTTCAAACGTTTGGTAAGCAAGATGGGTCTTCTTAATATCTTTGTCCCATTTTGAGGAGACTATTGATGTATAGTATAGCTTATAGATATAGCTTGTACATAGTCTGTGAATTGGTATAGATAAACCAGTATTTAATTGATTCAGTTTGAAGCTTTCGGTTTAGGCCTGGTCAAATGATGTATATAAACCCTCAATTGTACATTTTTACAGATTAATGAGAATGAGATTTTTCCGTAATAGAAACTCGACTAGATTGTATTTTCAAGATAACATCCATAAACTACACAAACTTTCTCGAGTTGTATTCGTTCCACTCAAACTTTCGTTATGACATAACCGAACCTGATCCAAAGAACCGAACCCGCAAGCCTAGCTCAAAAACATCGATGCCGAGCTCAAAGAGAAATCAGCACAGAGAGAGAGAGAGAGATTATCATAAGAGAGAGAGAGATTATCATAAGAGACCAAAAGAGTGAACAAAAAGTGGATCTTTAAAGAAGGTGATCTCGTATCATTCACATATCTAGCTAACTTGTTTGTTGAGAAACAAGAACAAGAAGTCCCTGAGGACCAACCAAAATCTCACTAAGGAAACTCACAAGCCCGAACCAAACCACTGGAGTCACATCGACACCAGCAAGTGGTGGAATCACTTTCCTCGTCTGGACAAGGATCGGTTCGGTCGGAGCGTAAGCCAAAACGTAAGGGAACTTCTCAACAGGAAGTTTTGGGTACCAAGACATAACAATCCTCAAGATAAAAAGAAACCCAAAAGCTGAAAACGCAGGACCTAAGATACCAATCGCAAGCTTAGCGGTTCCTGGATCCAGATCTGCTAGAGAGATGTTATGTAAAACCTCTGAAACCGGTTTTGATGAGACAATACTTGAATAGATTCTTGTCGTTGTTGTTGTTGTGTCTGGTTCGATTTGGGTTACCGATGCTGAAACCATGGGAAGAGAAGCTGATCGGTTTCGATTATTGGGATATGACCGTCGAGGTTTCGCCTGAAAAAATTGATTTTTTTGAGACATGTTAGAGAAAGACAGGATACGGAATCAGAGTTTGATGAATCTTGCTCTTGATTATCTCACCGGAAGCAACGCCGGCGAGGAAAAGACGAAGCCGGAGGCTACTGTTGTCATCCCAATCTCTTTGCTTCGTTAACCAAAAATGACAGATTTTGTCTCTGTTTTGTGGTTGTGAATATACAACACAGAGAATTGGGTTCTTGAAGATAATCTGATTATGCGAATATGAAAATCAGAAACTGTCACAGGTTGGTCCAATACTGGTTTACTATATTCTAAATTAATTATGAATTGTTTTGGTTTACTTTGGTTTAGTCATATGTTATGTATACCAGATGTAATTTCTTCTTCTTCGATAAGAATCAGAATCTCATTATGCGAATATGAAAGTTGGTCCAAACTGGTTTAGTCTGGTTTAATGTAATCTAAATTAATTGTGAATTGTTTTGGTTTACTTTGGTTTAGTCAATTCAAGTGTATATATATACCAAATTTGATTTCTTCTTCTTTAATAAGAATCAGAAAACGTTTCACTAGTATTTTGTTTTTGTTTCACTGATATAGTATACGAACAATTTTTTTTGCTCATATTTTTTTTTTCTTTTCTTTACTTTTGATTTTTTGGGGGTTCAAATTCACCAACTAATCGGTTACCGGTGTTGATATATCTTCGATTCGATGGTGGACTGATAAGAGAAGTCAAGCATGTAAAAAGATTCAACCATTCACGGGTCATCATTGGATCCTAGTTGGATTAGATGAAAATTGCTTGTTGGGTCTTCTTATGCCTTGTCCATAATTGAATGAAGATTGCTTCATCAAATACTTCATTCACGTTCTGCAAATAGAACATTAGACGGTAAAAAATATATCAGAGAAGAAACATGATCAAAAAGATTCATACATTCTTGTTCTCATCAAACACTCCAATATATTCACTTTCTCCTAATCGATGCAATATGTACAATCATCTATTCTAAAAAACATAAGATTTAATCACTCAAGAATCAAAGATTCAACCATTCTCAATCAATTAGTTAATTTATCATCGTTGAATGTAAGTCATTCTGATTTTCATCAAAAAATATTCATAGAGTTTCAGCCACTAGTAACGAAGAAGTGAAGATCATAGAAAAGATTTTATACCTCTAATTCCAATTCAAGAATATAATGTGCTAAGAACTTGTTTATAAAGAACTTCTCTTCTTTATTAGATTTAGAAACTTCTCAAAACTAAACCTCTTATCTTAGTCTTAAGGAACATCTCTCCTTAGACTCTGTTTATATAAATATTAGCTTCTCCTAATTCTATATAACAAAGGAAATATAAAACCTTATCTAGATATTAAACTATATCTAAAACCTTATTAAATAAATCCTTATGTTTATCTCTTAGACAACTTTCTAAAGAGATAACTTCCTAATCAAGTTAGGAATTATCCAACATTCTCCCCCTTAATTCCAACTTGAACTTCAGATGAGAATATGTCTTCTACTCCAAGCAAACTCCTCATTTCTTTGAACTTGACTCTCGCCAAGGCTTTAGTAAGGATGTCTGCCTTTTGTTGCGTTCCTGGGATGTGTTGCACTTCGATCTGATCATTCTCCACACACTCTCGGATGAAATGATACCTAGAAAGAATGTGTTTGCTTCTTCCATGAAACACAGGATTCTTTGTAAGGGCTATGGCTGACTTGTTATCAACTCTAAGTATAACTTTGCTGGAATCGATACTTAGTATTTCTTTTAACAACTCTTGAAGCCATATCGCCTGTTTTGCTACCTCTGTAGCTGCCATGAATTCTGCTTCACATGAAGATAGGGCGACGGTGGATAGCTTCTGAGATGTCCAAGTAACTGGTGATGCTCCGAGATAGAAGACGTGTCCTGCAGTACTTCTTCCATCATCGACATCAATGTTGTGACTACTGTCACTGTACCCAACAATACTTCTTGTTCCATCTCTCTTAAATTCCAATCCCAAGTTTGTTGTTCCTCTTACATACCTTAGAATTCGCTTGATAGCCTGTCCATGAGATTCTCTAGGACTCTGCATATAGCGACTCAAAACCCCTACTGAGAATGCTAAGTCGGGTCTCGTATGAAGAAGGTACCTCAAGCACCCTATTGTTCTTCTATATCGTGTAGCATCGATTTCTGTTTCGTTTTCAGCTTTTGAAATCTTCAAATTTGCTTCCATTGGAACATGAGACAGATTGCACGCCTCCATCTTGGTATCAACTAGTATTCCCTGAGCATAACCTTCTTGTTTTATTTTTATTCCATCTGCTCCTTGAATTACTTCTATACCAAGATAATATCTTAACTTCCCAAGGTCGGAAATCTCAAACCTTGTTGATATATCTTCTTTGAATTGTTTGATAACCTTCAAAGATGTTCCAGTAACAAACAAGTCATCAACATATATCGCCACAATGAGAGTGTCTTCCTTTTTCGTCTTAAGGTATACCGATGGTTCTTTTAAGCACTTCTTAAAGCCCATCCCCTTTAAGACCTGATCAAGCTTGATGTTCCAAGCTCTAGGTGCTTGTCGCAGGCCATATAGAGCCTTATGAAGTTTGTACACAAGATCTTCTTCTCCTTTCTTCACAAAGCCTTCTGGTTGACATACATGGACTATTTCATTGAGTTCTCCATTCAAGAAGGCTGTCTTGACGTCTAGGTGATGTATTTCCCATCCTCTTGCTACTGCTAGGGCTATTAAAAGTCGTATAGTTTCGATTCTTGCCACAGGGGCAAATACTTCGTCGAAATCTACACCTTGTTGTTGCACATACCCTTTTGCCACAAGTCTGGCTTTATACTTGTTCACCGAGCCATCCGCATTCCTTTTGGTCTTGTAGATCCACTTTAGTCCGATAGTTTTAAGTCCTTTTGGCCTTTTGACAAGCTCCCATGTTTTATTTTTTGAAATAGAATCCATCTCAGCTTTCATAGCATCGATCCACTCTTGTAATTGCTCTGCTTCTTGAAAAGTTTCTGGCTCTCCATCTATGGTGAAGAGCAATCTCTCACTTTCTTCTTCTGCAAGCATTACAAAGTCATCTAAGTACCCAGGCTTTCTTATTACTCGGCTGGATCTTGTTGTTGCTGGCTGTGGTTCTATTTCTTGTTGCACTTGTTGTCCACTGTGTTCTTCTTCCTCTTCTTGAATCGGTGGTTCTTGCTCTTGTTGATCATGATGATTAGGTTCGATTTCTTCTTCTACCGAATTTCCTTGAGGAAGCCTGAACATTCCTGGTTCACCATCGGTTTCTTTAATCTTTGGTGACCAGTCCCAACCTCTTGTTTCATCAAAGATAACATCCCTACTAACCAATACTCTCCCTGCCTCTGGATCAAGTAGCCTGTAGGCCTTAGAACCCGGCTCAGTTCCTAGGTTTACTACACATCTTGACCTCTCATCTAACTTCTTTAGATGTGGCGTAGTGATTTTAGCATAAGCGATACATCCAAAAACCTTTAAGTGCTCAATGTTTGGTTTCTTGGAGGTAAAGCTTTCATAAGGAGTTTGATTCTTTAGGGCTTTTGTTGGGATTCTGTTAATGAGGTAGGTTGAGTGTCGAACAGCTTCTCCCCATAAGTGATTTGGAACTTTCATTGCGATGAGTAAGCTCCTTGTCATCTCCATAAGCGTCCGATTTCTTCTCTCCACCACACCATTCTGCTGTGGTGTGTATGGTGCCGTTAAGTGTCTTTTTATTCCATTCTCTTCACAGAACAGATTAAACTCAGAAGATGTAAACTCTCCTCCTCTATCGGTGCGAAAGGTTTTTATGGACAACCCTGTTTGTTTTTCAACACCTTCTTCAAACCTTTTGAACCGATCGAATGCTTCTCCTTTTTCCTTCATCAATATAGACCACATGAATCTTGAGAAATCATCGATAAGCAAAAAGATATATCGATTGTTTCCTGGTGTTGGTGGTGATATAGGCCCGCACAAGTCGCCATGGATCAGCTCTAACGCTTGTGTTGCTCGATACATTGTCTTTGTTGGGAATGACCTTCTTGTTTGTTTCCCTACTAGACATGTATCGCATACTCTTTTCTCTTGCTGAAACCGTGGTAACCCTGTGACCAGATCATTGTCGACCATGTTCTTGAGTACTCCAAAGTTCACATGACCCAGCCGTGCATGCCAAGTCCAACCAGTGTCATCGTTTTGTGCTTGAAGACACTTAGGAACCAGTATTTCCATTGGAGTTTTGTACAGGCGGTTTTGTGATCTTTTGACTCTGACAAGTAACCTTCCTTGAGGATCACTTAGTGTTAGTGAATCTCCTTTCATATTCACCTCACACCCATTCTCTGTTGCTTGTCCTAAGCTCAAAATATTGTGCTTCAAACTCGGGATAAAGTAAATTTCTTTGAGAGCCTTCTTTTCACCTGTCTTGCTCACAAAGGTAATTGTACCTTTTCCCATTATATCAACATATGAGCCATCACCAAACTTTACTTGTCCTTTTATAAGTTCGTTTAGGCTGGAGAAGAATCCTATGTTTCCCGTCATATGGTTGCTTGCGCCATTATCTAGGAACCATATGCTTTTATTTTCTTCACCGGTATCATAGTTATTTGGGTTTATCTTGTCCTCGTTCAGAAACACAACCTCGTGAACATATAATGCCTCGGCTTCTTCCGTTTCATTCAGGTTTGTCTCTTGGTTTTTATTTTTCTTTTCTGGACAAGTTGATGCGAAGTGGCCAGGTTTGTCACATATCCAACAGATGACTTTCGACCTGTCCTTCTTTTGTTCTGATTCGATTCTCCAGGTGCTCCTCCTTGGTTTTGGCTATTTGATCTCCCTCGACCTCTTCCTCTGCCTCCACCACCTCTGCTTTTTCCACGAGAGCCTCCATAACCTCCACAGTTATTTTGATCAGAGTTAGCCCACATTAGCTTGCCTTGATCTTCCTTTTGAGCTTCTTCTCCTATTCGTTCTTCGTATGCTTTTATCCTCCCAACTATCTCTTCAAAACTTGTTGCGTTTAAGTCTAGATCTTGTTCTATGGAAGCCACGATCTGAATAAACTTGTTTCGGGAAAGAGCTTTCAGGAATTTCTTTACTAGTACTGATTCTTCAATGGTTTTTCCTAATGAGGCTGACTTGGAAGCCAAACCTGAGATTTTTCCTAAAAAATCATCTACAGAGTCAGTGTTGCTCATTGTCAGTTTGTCAAATTCTGCCATCAATGTCTGTTGCCTTGCTTCTTTTACTCGATCTGCTCCTAGATGTCGCGACTTGACTGCATCCCAGACTCCTTTTGATGTAGTTTGCTCTCCTAGTTGAAGTATGAGCGATTTGGGTATAGATTGGAACAGCAGGGCTATCGCGATGTCATTCTTCTTTGCATCCGTAGACCCTGGTTCGATCGTGTCCCATACTTCGTATACCCTTAACATAACTCTCATCCTCATCGTCCAAACTGTGTAGTTTGTTGACGTGAGCATAGGACATTGGATCGCTGCTGATCCGATATCCTTTGGACGTGGTTGGACCAACTCGTCTCCCATCGTCGTGTTGCTTGTGATCTTCGTTTAGGTAATCCCTTAGGCTTCGTCTTTGCTCTGATACCAATTCAAGAATATAATGTGCTAAGAACTTGTTTATAAAGAACTTCTCTTCTTTATTAGATTTAGAAACTTCTCAAAACTAAACCTCTTATCTTAGTCTTAAGGAACATCTCTCCTTAGACTCTGTTTATATAGATATTAGCTTCTCCTAATTCTATATAACAAAGGAAATATAAAACCTTATCTAGATATTAAACTATATCTAAAACCTTATTAAATAAATCCTTATGTTTATCTCTTAGACAACTTTCTAAAGAGATAACTTCCTAATCAAGTTAGGAATTATCCAACACCAATTGCAACTCAACGACCAATGTTGTTTGCTTCCGAGAATCTACACAAAAAAAAGGTTAGAACTTACATGAAAAAAAAAATAAAAAAAAATATAGAACCAAAATACGAAATTACTCATGAAAGTCAAGTTCTTTAAATATTTGCACTAAGGTACAAGCTTTACTTTTTTTTTTTTTTGATGGAACTCCGCAGCCATTTCAACAAAACAACGTAGGATCAATTTCAAAAAAACCTATAATATGAACCGATCCAATATGGTTTACAGTTGCAAAGACTATAATATGAACATATTCTTAAAAGACATTTGAGTTTAAACATCAACAAGGATATACCGCTACACTCTCTCAGATTGCCGTTTTGACATAAAGATGTCCAAACTTTCTCTCTACTCTCTCACAGATTGCCATACTGACAAAAAAGTAAGTAGGCCATGTCCATGTGCCAGTTTGACAAAGCCACCATCACCAAACATCCCACCGGAAGAATCCTGAAGCACCCAGTATTTGGTTCCATGCTCGTCAATGTCAAACCCAACCAAGATATGACCAGGATACTCAGGGATTGATTTCTCACCAATCTTGGGGCAACATATATCCTACAGACAAAAAAAACGTCGTAAAACCCTCTCCTCTCATCAACAACCGGGCTGTTGTCACAATATCGTTTGGGATTCATGTCTAGAAATTCTTGGACAGAAAGACATAATCATTAATATTTGTTATTCTTGAGGTGGTAAAGAGCTTCTACCTGTTAATATATTTTGAGAGCCGATTATTTCCATAGCAAATTTAAAAGAGATGTATTACCATCTAGTATTAAAATCACAAATGCTTTATAGAAAAAACAACGACGATATAATCCTTTGGTAAACAAGAAAAAAAAATAAACAGAAACGATAAAAATTTATTGTTGAAAAACCATACATTGCAATATTATTAAGAAAATGTCACAACTTTTGATAAAAAATGGTTTACCAATATTATTACTCTAAATAAAACGCACAATTTGTGTCCATAAAAAGATTCAACCATTCATTTCTCATCATTGAATGCTAGTTGGATTAGATCAAAATTGCTTGTTGGGTCTTCTTAAGCCTTGCCCATAATTGAATGAAGATTTCTTCATCAAACACTCCATTCACGTTCTGAAAATAGAATATTAGATGGTAAAAAATATATCAGAAGAAACATGATCAGAAAGATTCATACATTCTATTTTATGGACTGAGCACAACCCCTTTTGGTAATTTCGACCAGGCCCGTTAACTAATTGACAAGGCCCAACGAAACTAAGAGGCGTTAAGAGCCCATTCGACAAGCCAAAACGAGGTCGTTCCAGAGATGGGCTTCGCGAATATAAGGAGCAACTCGCCACATCGACATGGATGAAGCAGCTCGCCAACATGATATTTAGAGAGACGGTCGGTCAGGTCTACCTGCCCGACCGTTTGACCTATCCTGACCGAAATGTAACCTAATCTCATCACTATAAATAGCCCTGTAACTTCATTTATTACGGGATCCGTAATCTGAAATAAAGACTAAAAACTCGATATTTACGAATAAAAGAAATCTATACTTTCACCTCAATAAAAAGACCTCGATCACTATAGCACATCGAGCTCAACTCAATATAACAAAAATTTCCGAACCCTCTTCGATAATATTTTACTGAATTGACCTTGTGTTTATACGAACAAATAACTCCAATATATTCACTTTCTCATAATCTGATGCAATATGTACATTCATCTATTCTAAAAAAATAATAAGATTTAGTCACTCAAGAATCAAGATTCAACCATTCTCAATCGATTAGTTAATTTATCATCTTTAAATGTAAGTCATTCTGATTTTCATCAAAAAAATATTCATAGAGTTTCAGCCACTAGTAACAAAGATCATAGAAAATATTTTATACCTCTAATTCCAATTGCAACCCAACGACCAAATTCTGTTTGCTTCCGAGATTTTATACAAGAAAATATGGTTAGACATTCATCACTGAAAATGAACTTACATGAAAAAAAAATCAGGAAATATAGACATTTAATCATTTGCACTAAGATAGCAAGCTTTACTTTTTTTTTAATGGAACTCCGCAGCCATTGTTGTATGCAAATCACCTCAATCATTTAAGGTGTCAAACAACTTCTAAAAGGATCCAAAATTCAGGCACTAGTACTAAAAGCCAACTCTTAAGCAACAAAAGATATTTGGATTGCAAGAACATCTCTAGTCAGCTCTAATAAAATAGGGTATTTAGGACTATTACGCTTCCACCAATCTAAATATCATAACCAAGTCCCAAGCTGGTGCAATCAAATATATGCACAACTCACTACTTAATTCTTCATTTGCATATTCACTAACCATCTCTGCGTAAATAAAATCCATCCTCTCATACCCATCATCATCTGATAAATCAAACAAAACACTTGTTGTATCATAATTACCATGATCCCCTGCATTTCCAACACTATCACCTTGAGATGGTATGGTTAGAATAACCGTCTACTCTTCATATAGCTGATGCAGATGATATAAGAATTAAGATGCTTACTTTCCATACTTTCTTTACCATAGAGCTTACTTTCCTGTCAAAGCAAATTGAAACAAACTTTATTTTATTCTTTTGATCAAACATATTGACAGTTATCACAAGTGGATTCATATTTTGATAAATTCATTCCAATATTTTTCAAACTTAGGTTTTCAAAGACACTTGCAAGTTTGTGACATTGTATGTAACACTTGTAGTCTTGTACTTGAGTCGGCGAAATCGCTCGAGTGGGTGAATTGAAAGTACTAAACTTTTTGTCAAACGACTTGAATGAAATCACTTTGAAACCCTGAAATGACTCTCCAATAGATTCGCGTGACGTTGGCGATTCGTAATCCTAGTCGCTTGGGGACAAGAACACGAACCTGCTCGCAACCTAATTCGATCTCTAATGGCTGTGAACGTAGCGACCAAACGCAAACGCAAGCGCGGCGTCTCGAGTCAACAGAGAACCACCATCCCGAAAAAACGCAGATTCTTCTCGGGCAAGCCAGTTTCCTCTTCCAATGCTACAATCTCGACGCTTTCGAGCTACCCAGTTACGAAAGTTCGAGAATTTCATGCCCGTCGCAGAGGGTTTCTTCGATTTAGGTCACTGGTTCGTCGTGCTCCAGTCTTGAAAAAGAAGAAGGAAAAACCTAGAATTTGCACTGGCAATGTAGAGATTAGTCGTGAAACAAGCAATTTGTCTGGTCTCAAGTGTGATTCAAACAAACCCGTATTGAGATACAATGAAAAAGAGAGGATTGTGATTGATTTGGTTGATGACGACGATTCAAGCTCTGAAGAAGCTGCTCTCGTGGTTGAAGATGATACGGAAAATTTGGTTGAGGAACGATCTTCTTCTTTGGGTGTTCGAAATGGTAAAAATGGGAACAACTTGAGAGTATCATTGCTCCGCAGATCTCCCCGTTTGATGAAAAACCGTGTTGAGGTGCTCTTCTTGCTCCAATGTTCTCTTGAATGCATACGATGTTGTTGCTTATGGTTGTCGGATTATAGTATCTATTAGCTTTAAGAACTTGGAGTGATACCTAAGCTGCTTGATAGTATCTGGTTTTGTACATTACAGAGATTCAATCATGACTTGTAGTTAGAGTTCTTTCGAGTTATGAGGTTGTTTCTGCATAGTGACAAGTTGTTAGCTTGGGATAAATTTAGTTGAAGAAGCACATTGTTGATAACGGTACACATTTGTTATTGAAAGTTGTTTTATTGATTTGCAATGTTGTTGCATATGGTTGTCTGATTATTGTTGATGCAAACACTCGTACTAGAGTATCTATTAGCTTTAAGAACTTTGAGTAATACCTAAGTTGCTTATTTGTATATAGTTTTGTACATTCCAGAGATTTAGTTAGCTGCAATCAAGACTTATAGTTTGAGTTCTTCGAGTTATGAGGTTGTTTCGAACTAGTCACAAGTTCTTAGCTTGGGTTAAGTTTTGTCGACAGAGCACGTTATTGAGACTGTATTCATGTGTTTATTATTGAAAGTTGATTTATGGATTTGTTGAAGGTTTCTAATGAACTCTTTCTACCGCTCAAAAAGGAAGAAGAAACTGAAGTTAATGTTGCATTCTCTATGAGAAATAGGTATAATTTTTTTTTTTGAGCTTCTAGCATTTCATGTTATTGATGATTCAGGAATCTGATCAACTTTGATTGCACAATCTCAGAACGAAGGTTGTGGTTTCGCATGAAAACTCCAACATTGATATTCGTGGAGAAACTTTACAATGCCTTAAACCGTCTGCTTGGCTTAACGACGAGGTTGCTTTTCTTACATCTGTTTTTTTTTTTCTTTTAAATTTGGTTCGAACTCTTTTTGTTGCATTTTCCAGTTTTGCACTGATGTATGGTGTTTTAATTTGCTCTGTTTTATAGGTCATCAACCTTTATCTTGACCTGCTGAAAGAGAGAGAAACTAGAGATCCTCAAAAGTACCTCAAGTGTCATTTCTTCAATACCTTTTTCTACGTCAAGGTTTGCTTTCTGTTCTAGTTCTCATGCTTCAAAAAAATATAGGTTTTCATGTTTCCTAGTGTCAGATCATTTCGGCCATGACTTGCTTCCATAAAAGTTATAAACTGCCACGCTTAAGATTTCTCCGATCTCAATGTGTTTTGGCTGAAACTAGCAGATTCTGCTCCTAGTATTCAGTTGTCTATATAAGGCTTGTGACAGCTATTAATGATGTTAATAAATGTTCACAGGCTTATGTTTACTCCTTCTAATTACATTTGTTCAGCTAGTAAGTGCCTCCGGTTACAACTACGAAGCTGTCAGGAGATGGACTACCCAGAGAAAGCTGGGATATAATCTTATTGACTGTGACATAGTGAGCTTTCCGCAAAACTTAAACTCTTGGTTACCTTTTGTTAATCTTACAAACATAATCCAATTTGATTGATGTTGAATCTGTTGCAGATATTTGTTCCAATCCACGGAAGTCTACATTGGTCCCTGGCAATGATTAATATCAGGGAATGCAAGTTCCTGTATCTTGATTCACTAAATGGATTTAATCCCAAAGTCTTGAATGCTTTGGTATAAATTCTTGATCACAAATTTTACCCATTTGCACTTTGAAAATATGATGCTATTGATTATGTGATAATTCTGAAGCTACTGTGAAAATAAGATATTTGTAAGTTAATGGTGGTATTTGCTTCAGGCAAAGTACTTGGTGGATGAAGTAAAGGACAAGAGCGGGAAACATATTGACGTTAGTTCATGGGAGATCGGATACGTTAAAGACCTTCCTCGGCAACAGAATGGGTAAGTAATTCCAGTTTTGCTATGTTATTGATCAAGTGAAAGGAAATTATCTTATTAACAAACCATCCATTGTAGAATTATCCAAGCTTTCTTTAGCTATGTGAGTTAGGAATAGATCCGGTTTATGTGTTGATATAGGTTATGTTCGGATAAGCAGGAAAACATATTCTATAGAAAAAAAAAAACTAACAGTATAAAAAAAAACTAATGTTTCTCATGGTTTGCTATATAATTTGCAGTTACAAGCTTATCGTATTCCTTGTAGCTTATTATCAAGCGTAGCTAATGCAACAGCTCTTTTATAGCCATTTGCGTTATGCAGTTATAGATTTTCTGACACTCCTTTTTTGCAATTTCTCCAGGTATGACTGTGGGATGTTTATGCTTAAATACATAGACTTTTACAGTAGAGGACTGAAGCTACATTTTAGCCAGGTAATAAGAGATATCATCAATATCTGCAGAATTGTGGGTGGGCTAGTTATGGAATTAATATGCAGTGGTGAAACATGTTTTGCAGAAGGACATGCCATACTTCAGGTTAAGAACAGCAAAGGAGATACTTAGACTGCGAGCGGACTAGTTTTGCCGGTTTTTGGTGATAATAGCTTTTTATTTTAGGAAGCCTACAATGTCATTTAGAAGGCTCTTAGTAAAAATTATGGATTAATCTGCTGTGGCTGTGGAGGATGCTAGATATCTCATGGTCATGGCTGCTTTTTGGAAATATTGATTAGTTTTCTTTTTGCTAATAGAGTTGTAAGGCTGTAGCTTATTACAATCAATGTTATTATCAAATCCAACAATGTTATGTTAGAAGCCTCTGAGCAAATTTTCAATCTTATGGTCATAGCTGCTTCTTGCAACAGTGGTTTGTTTCTTTGTTCAAAGAGAATTAAAGCTTTATTAGTGATTACATACAAAGTAACCAACATTGTCATTTCAGATGCCTCTCAGCAAAATCTAATTTGCTTTGGCTATTGAAAGTGAGAGAGAATGAGACAGACTTCATACTCATGGCTGCTGCTTCTTGGAGTGTCTCTGAGCAAAGTTCTTTATCCTGGAAAACCCATCAATGAGGAGCTCGTGCTCAACCGCAAATGTGATACGTAGCCAGTTCTTAAGCCCAACAGCTCGACCTGCAAGAGCCGCATCGATTACTTTAACTGCCCATAACCATCAACAAAGCTCGTTAACAAGACTATAACATTTACCTGGTAGGATAATCATGGACTCCTCTTTGGCTAGCTTGCAGCAGAAGTCCAAATCATCACTGATATCTTCGAGTAGAGAAAGGTTTAACTTCACCTGCACCAACAAACAGATTAATCTCTGAGCTTGAGCTTTGACAGATAAGTAATCTGATTGCTGTCAATTCTTTACCATCGTGAACATTGACCCCTCTGGTTTGCAGGGACAAGTGATGCAAGGGATCTTCATAATCTCTTCATAACAAAGCTCAGCACATTCTTTCACCATTTCGAGTTTCGATGAGAAGAATTCTTCTTTCGTGTTCCCAACAATATCAGGAACTGCGCCCTAAAAGTCATTTCATTTCTACTGTCAGATACATGTCTTATACCAGCCACTATTCAACACCGATGCATCTCATTAACATACCTGAATGAACGTTGCAGCATCCGTGGACATGTTGAGGACGTTGGTTAGAGTCTGAAGAAACTAATAGATAGCAAAAAACAGAGATTATTTACAGATACATTCTTAAAAAGAGATTGATTGAGCAATTGCTAAGGGACAAACCCCAGAATCTTTCATGATGCTATGAGGGTCAAGAGTCACCATCCAGCCAAGTCTCCAGCCAGGAACAAACCATCTTTTCGATATGGCGCCAAACAAAATTACAGGCACTATCTCTGCAAACTCAGCCATGGACACAAATGGTTTGTCCCCAAATGCAAAATGGTCATATACTTCATCTGCGATCACAAGTATTCCAAGCTTGCAAGCCGTCTCTGAAATCTTCATCCAACCATATAAAGATGACAAAGACATCAAAAAAATCTGAACACATTCTCTTACCATTTCCACAAATGAAGCCTAGTATCCAAAACGAAAAGTAAGAAGCAAGTAAACACACCTTTTGAAGATGTTGGCGAGAAAAAACGTTTCCACAAGGATTGCAAGGGTTGATAAGAACAATAGCCACGGTTTTGTCATCTGCAAGAGCTTCAACTGCGTCGAGATCAACATCCCAGCCATTTTCTGGTAGGAGGTCAAAATAACGAACCTCTAGCTGGCTTAAAGACGCTCTTGAATCATACATCGGGTAAGTGGGCCTAGGAAGCAGGATGTTTGCACCGGGAGTTGCGAGTGCGGAGATCAAAATCTCAATGGCTTGCAAACAACCAGCTGTGATATGAACATCATTTGGAGATATCTTGTAAGAGAGATCGCGAGAGAGGTACTCTGCAACAGCCCTGTGAGGTGGAAACAAAGCCATCAGTTCTTTCTCAAAAGCTTTAATACACATTGCAAAATGTAGTCTGAATATGTAAAAAAGATAAAACATCATAGAAACACGAATCAAAACAACCCCAATATCTCAATCTAACCCAATGATTTAACCAATTAACCATTATTGTCTTTGTGGAAAATTTAAATTTAACTTATTTTCCGACTGTTTCTTGTTGATAATCCACTCTTTGAACAGAAACAGGTAAAAGTTCAAATCTTGTGTACGTAGGAAGCAAGAACAGACCCTTAGATTGAGATCAAAAGATAAAAAAGTCAGCGGTTCTTAAAATTAAACAGCAAAATGGTGTAAACAAGCAAGGCCAGCAAGATTTTTTCATAACTTACTAAAAAGACCCAAAACGTTCCAATAATCATGACATCCCCAAGATCTCAATCAATTTAATCAATTAACCATTATTGTCTTCGAGGACAAGTTAACTCATTTTCCGGCTGTTTCTTGTTAATTTATCCACTCTTTTAACAGAAAACAAGCAAAAGTTCAAATCTTTTGTACTCAGTAAGCAAGAACAGAGCCTTAGGATACCCAAAAAAACACAGCTTTGAGATCAAAAGTAAAAAACTAAGAAGACCCAAAACGAAATCAAAGGCATCAAACAGAAAACGAAAGAAGAAGAAGGAGAAGGAGAAGAAGTTGTTTCTTACTTCCTAGCGACAGGGATACCAGAAGCAGAGGAATAATTGTTAAACTTGGTGGAGCGGACAGAATCACAGATTGCTTCGACGGCGGATGGGTCGGTGCTGAAACTCGGGAACGGAGAAGGATCTCCGTGTCCGAGAGGGATGATGGGTCTGGAGTCGCCGGCGTCGAGATTACTAATCAAGGTATGTAGATACTCACGAATGCTCAGAGAGCTTGATCGTTCGACGACCTCGTTGGCTCCGAAGTTCCATCTCTTGGTTCCGATTTCTCCCATTTTCCTCTCAGAAACTGAGAGCTGACTACTTTGGTTGTGATTTGTGTGATTTGTGAGTGTGACTGGTGTGGTATTGGTTGGTGAACCATTTCCTCAAATTTTGGCATTGAGAGAAACGACAGAACTTTATCAAACTGGTATTTGGAGTGTAGCTTTTACTTACCGTAGCAATATCTATCTACTACGTAAAGATATACTCCAAGACCATATGTAACAACTTTACAAAATGGTTTTTTTTTTTTACTTTTTGATAGAATAGTAACATGATGAATTGATGATTGTAATGGGTTAAATATATTTTGATTTTCATTTGATTACTAGTGATTTGGTCTGCATCTTGTGCAGGCTCGAATTGTTATTTTATATGTTTTCATTAGTATTTCTGTTATGAGATGATTGTTATTGTTGTAATTTGATAATTCTTTTTGTTTTTAAAATATATTTATACCTCGTAGAGTTTTTGATTTAAAATGTATTTGATGTTTTTTTCATATTTTAGTATTTATACTCTTGTCTGCTAGTCTTCAATAATTGCGAAAAAAAATTAAAGTTTGTATTGGTATAGTTGTTTTTCAGTCTTAACCTCATTCTTTGATCGTAATTTCCTTGTAAAGATTGTATATTAAATTTGTGTGTTCAAAATTTCAAATAAATAGCATCTATTCGTAAGTGCCAACCAATGTCTGTTAAACAAAGAAATATGTAAAAAAATGCAACGAATGACTTTAATTCAGAAATCGATATAATAGTGACAAGTATCTCTAAGCACAAATCACTATAAAAAATGAAAACTAAAAAAGATATTCTTCTAGTTTTTATAAACATGTCTATTAAACACTAAATTTTAGCATAAACTTCCTTGTAGACAATATTCATTGTTTTCCTTTGCGGTATTCTTTTCTCGTCAGTAATAAATATTTGTGAAAATTCCTTAGACTAGCCTTTAAAGTTGATGAAATGACAAACCTAGCCTAACATTTTGATCATCTTACTAGACTAACCTTATAAAGTTGGATTAAGTCCTTTTTATCCAGCTGTTCAAAATTATTACAAAAATGCCATTCAAGTTAATAAAAATTAAAAAAATTTATTTTTTATCCAGCTGTTCAAAATTATTACGAAAATGCCATTCTGGTTAATAAAAATTAAAAAATTTATTTTTTATCCACATGTTCAAACTTATTACGAAAATGCCACTATAGTTAATAAAAATTAAAAAATTGATTTTTTTATCCAGCTGTTCAAAATTATTACGAAAATGTCATCCTGGTTAATAAAAATTTAAAAAATTGATTTCTTTTTATTATTATTTCTACAGAAAAAAACGAGTATAAGTATATTTCTACAGAAAAAAAACATAAAAATCTGATTATTAAAAAAAAACCTTAATTTGGTTCTTGTCGCCGTTGTAGAAGAAGAAGAAGAAGAAGAAGAAGACTTCACCGAAGATTGGTTCTTGTCGCCGGCGTCTCTGCGGCACGAAGATACGGTCCCATCAGCTCTGAATCTTCCACCGTCGCAGCTTCTTCGCTTTCCATGTAGAGCTTCTTGATAGGCGAACATAGGGATTTCTCCTCTGGCTCGAAAGATTCCGGTTAGCAGTTTCCCTCTTTTCACAGCTTTCCTCTTTCCAACTTTCTCCTTCCTTCTCCCTTTTTATCTCTTCACAGCTTCCCTCTTTTTCGCAGATCCACACAGATCTTGGTGCTGGAGATCTCAGTAATATTTGGCATGACTCTTAAGCAGCATTCTCGCCGCGTCGCGCACAACCGCGGTGGACAGACGTTGTTGCGATGGAATGGTGGTGTTGTGGAGGTTGTCGGTGGCGTTAATTTTTCTGTAAAAACCATAACCCTAATTTTTTTTTTTCAGGTACGTTTGGTAGATATATTTGGAAATCGATATTGTATTTTTTTGGTTGTAAAGTTCATAATGTGTGATGGTAGATTTATTTGAAAAACGGTATGTTGTTTGGTAGATTATTAGTTATTTGATGGTAGATATATTTAGAAAACGAAATGTAATTTGGTAGATTTATTAGTTATTTGATGGTAAAATTATTTTAAAAAACGATGTCGTTTGGTAGATTTATTAGTCATCTAATGATAGACTTATTTGTAAAACGATGTGGTTTGGTAGATTTATTAGTCATTTAAAGGTAACTTATTTGAAAAATGATATGTGTTTGGTATATTTATTAGTTATTTATGGTAGATTTATCAGTCGTATATATTTGAATTTTATATATGAATGACAGTATTTGTTTATTTTTTTTTTCTGACAGATTATGAGCTTTGCCATGGTGAACAAATCTTTGATGGGATATCCAGCATCGATCCGACATGTTTCACTATGAATTGTAGATTTGCATTTGGTAGATTTGTTTTGAAATAATGGTAAATTTATTATTAAATTGATAGTATATCTATATTTGAATTTATAAAAATGATAATTAGATTTTAAATGATAATACTTTCGTTTTCAAATTATATTTGCATAAAACATTGACCCAGACATTTCACATTTTTGCCACATTTGCTTGTAATGTTATTATTCAATTCAATTTATTTCTTTACTTTCACTATGATGTATATCATAACTGAATAAAATTTTAATCAAAACACATGACTAAAATCATTTGACGTTGTGATGTTGTAAGAATTTATGTAAATAGAGTTAAATGTAACAAATATTCAAAAATAAAAATCAAAAGATCATAAGTTAAGAAATGGTTATTACAAATATGACATATATGTTGAAAGTTAATATGAAAAGCAAAGTTATCTTAGAGAAAAGATATATCATAGAAAAAATATTCATGTTAGAAATTTTTGACCATTGATTATGGCATCTATATCGTAAAGACCAATAATCATATGTGATCGAATCACAGTTAACCGACATAATCTTAGCAAACTCATGCAAAGAAAACGTCAATGGTAACAAAACCAAGTCAAATATAACCATTGAACAAGTCTACCATATGTACGAAACCTGTTTAACATACGATACTCCAAAACAAGTCTACCACACCTCTGTTTTTTTCGTAGATTGCAGAATACATTTAGGACAAAAAAGTAATTTCAATCCAAAAAGTCAAATGTCTGCCAAACATTAACAACTAAGTCTACCTCAAGCATGAAAAATAACTCTACCATAGAAACAAGTCTACCATAAGCACCTCATATCTCTACCAGATCGAGGTTATCTTTGTAAATACCAAACTTAATTAATCCACCACATGATTATTATAAGAAGTCTACTATATGTACAATAACTCTACCAAATTACATAAACTCTACCAAACTAACAAACAAATCTACCGACATTCTGTAAGTCTACTTCATGTAACAATAATATACCCCTTTACCCGGAAAAGAATTTTATTTGAATTTTAAATCTTCCACAAAACAAACATATCTACTACAAAACAAATAAATCTACCAACATTCTGTAAGTCTACCTCATGTAACAAATATTCTACCACTCACCGGAAGGAATTTTACTTGAATTTAAATCTACCACAAAACAAACATATCTACCACAAAAGCAAAAAACCTACCAACTAGATATAACTCTACCATAAAACAAATATATCTACCGTCACGTATTGACAACTTTTTTCACATAAATCTACTGCCAAAGGACATAAGTCTACCAACTCAGAAATTAAATCTACCTCATTGTCAATAAATCTACTGACAAAGTCAACTATGCGAGAAAGTCAACGATTTCTTTAACAAGTCTACCAATACGTTTGACAAGTCTGCCATTCATAACAACAAATCTACCGAAACATAATAAATCTACCTCTCATTGTCAAAACTCTACCAAGATAAGTCTACCAATATTTGTAAACACTACCAACTCTCGAATAAATCTACCATCGACCTAATAACTCTACCGACAAAATTTTTGCGTTGACCAAAATTTGATAAGTCTACCGTCAAAGCCTGGTAGACTTATCAATTTTTCAGCGCTATATTCTGCCTACGTGGCATTAAAAATGTAATGTCATTTTCGTAATTAGGTTTTTTTCAACAAAGGCGAAAAGGGTGTTTTGGGTATGCTATGTTAGTTTTGTAATAAAAATAAAAATGCGCCAAACAAGTTATATAGATACTTTCTAAGGTTACTACAGTAATCCTCCCTAAATATTTTCAAACATTTTCTAGATGTTACTCTTGAAACTGCAACATAGAACTGACGGTGAGAGAATACAGGTTTGGGTAAATATAACCCAACTCTCTCAAACGTTTGACTTTGACTCTTGTTAATAATCACTGCAAAAACAAGTGTTATGGGGAACTGTCTACGATTCATACAAAAGGGAAAGCGTGCGTCTACCAGTGTTACAAACATCCTTGGTATTTACACACACTCATCTACGTGATTGTCGTAATTTTCCGTAATCACCCTAGCCTCAATAACATGATTTTCCAACTTAGTCACTATCAATCTTGTACCATTGCACAATCCACTCTTAGGATCAATGTTTCGTAGTAACATTATCAGAGCTCTCACCTTCAAGAATAGTTTGTGATCAGGCATACCTGAAATTTTAATGTTCTTCAAAAACTCTTGCGTATATATGATGTCGTCAGCATCATTTATGTTTGAATGTTCAATACTATCTGCACTTAAAAATCTTTTTTCTTCACCTAAATATTTAACAATTTCAAACATTAGTTACATATAACATAATATTAATTTTAGTACCGCTTTTAATAATCATTTTCTTTTTAATTTGAAATACGAATGTATTAAACATTTAAGGTGAAGTTTGCTCGTGACTAAGTCCATATTATTGTTAAAATATGTTTCCATATTTTAAATTTATTGGCCGAATTAATGATAGTAAAATTGTCTTAAAAGTTTGAAAAATACCTGGTAACTTTGATAGCATGTATTGGTTTATGATCTCCACATCCACATTCCTACGACTTGATATAGCTCTGTCTCTGAAGAACTGTGCATCTGTATTGGTGGCAAACCAATTCACCATAAATCTCCCGAACAATCGATCGTACAAGATCGTCGGAATAAAGAATTAGCAAATCTTCTTGTATCT